TGTAATCAACAGAACCTAGGTTTTGACTTGCTATCTTAATTTTACTGGCCCACTCCTCAATAGTTTTCTTTGATACTATTTTTGTTTCTTCCAATGCATATCTCAAGGCTTCAAGAATTTGACTGTATAGTAAAAGTTCTTTGGTTGTAATTTTTTGAGAATTGCCAAGAGCTAAGTTTTTTACTATAGTTTCTACGTTACTTGGTTCTTTAGTCATGGATGTTTCTAGGATGCAATTTAATTTACTGCAGTTTAAGTATCTACACAGTTTGTTACCCATTCCTTGAACTTGCTGAATTAGGCTTAGTTTGTTGATTATCTCCATTTGATTACTTTATTCGTTTGATCTATTTTTGTATTTTTGTTGTTTGACTATCTATTCCCTAATTTAGTTTAGTACATGAATTGCTGTTTGTTGATTTTTTGTGCTGATTGTTGTATATTTCTATATTTGGAACGTGGCTGCTTGTTTGTTTTGTTGTTTACTAATTTAATTGATCACGTGTACTTCACAATTTTTCTGAGATAGAGTAATGCCCCACTTTTGCCAGAAAAAAACCGAAAAAAATTTTTCCAGTAACTGAATCGAAGTTTTCCAAATGATTTAGTTTTGGTGGAAGTAATTTTTATACTTGATTGAAGGAAAACCACATTGAATGAATAAAATCTATAGCCTTTTTAGTACTTTTAAGAAAAACTAGCCAAGTTGATTAGTTGTATAAATCATAAATAAAAAAATAGACAGAATTTGATCACTCTTTGTTCAGGTTGCCAACTTTGCACTAGAAACCAGAACAAATTAAGCTACTTGTAGTTTGGGTTTCTGGTAATACTAAGTCTAACAGTGTTAGGTCCAATCTCTTTAAGAAAAGTTATATTATCGAAGAGTACTTGTAGTATTATTTTTAGTTTTTTGTCAATTTTGTTTGTTTTGATGATCTACAGGAGAGAGTTTTTTTTTTGAATCGAAAGTTTTATTTATATTTATATAATAATTTAATTTGCATATGTATGTACTATTTATATAAGTATCTTGACTCTGAATTTATTAGGTTCTGATCGTGATTATGTTGCATAAATTATCTATATTAGTGCATAAATCAAGTAATTATCATTTTAAGGATTTGAGGATTCTTAAAGAAGTTGGTTATTCAAGTAATTATTTTTCAATAAAAAATCATTTTTTTGTTAAAAAAAACTGCCGCTTATATATACATATATAATTTTTTTTTTTTTTTTTTACAATAAACCTTTAATATATTTCGCAACCATTATAGTTCTTTTAACTATTGTCGAAATTATATAAGAAACCCATGTAAGAAATTAAAGATGCCATCATGTGCTAGATTAAATAATAGAAGAGATATTAAAATAAATAGTAATAATCATATATATTTCTTAATAAAGCAACATTATCTAACTAATTTATAGACCAGGTGATATATATGCAAGAATATAATGCTCTTAATGCTACTTATATTGAAATAAAACTTGACAATAATGAATGGATAGATGATGTATTATCTGATAATATGACAAGCGAAGAATTTAATGAAGAAGCTTCAAGTGAAGATTCTATTAGTATTGAAGCTTCAAGCAAAGATGATAATTCAATTGAAGAATTAAATTATAAAAATTCAAGTGAAATATCTAATAATAATGAAATAATAAGTGAAGAATCTAATGATTGTATGATGAATGAAGAGGGTCCTGATAAAATTGTTGATAAGTCCTTAAGCAAAGAACAAATGCCATCAATTAGTGAAAAGTTCACACCATATTTTAATAATATCATGGAAACATTAATGTTTTGTTGAGTTGAAAAACACAATATATGTAGGTTTAACTTTATTTAAGCTTGATTAGTTTTTTTTTAAAAAAAAAGAACTTCTATATTTATATTTAGCTACCCATGCATATGACGAATTGGTGGATATAATTCGTCATCCGCAATTCAAAAGTACAAATATTACAACAAATATTCGACGATTTAGGAAGTATAGGCAGAGATTGCCTTTGCTTCCAATCAGGTCATGATACATTCATATCTCTGACAAAAAAACACCTTCTACATCCTGAAAAACAAAAGAGATGTACTATTTATCTATTACTGATATAATTTGGTATGCCTTAAATAACCCTTTACTACTTAGTCAAATGTATTTTGGGCCAGGCCAACAAGTAGAAAAAAATCAAGAGCTTTGGCATGGCGATATCTGGAAAGAATCACCACGATTTGGAAAAGCATCTATTAAAATAAATGAAGGTAAATTAATTAATTTAGTAAACTGATATCTTAATATTGTTTTTTTTAGTTATTCACTTACTTTATATTTATAGCAACCTATAATTGTAAAGATTTTGTAATTTATAAAGAATCATTAACAAGAGTTGGTAGAATTTTGGCAATTGTGAAGGTAGATGACCTACTAAAAATAAAAATTCAACATATCCTAATATTTAATGAATTGCAAAACAACTTGCAAAGCAATAATCGAAGAGAAAGATCATGTGGATGTGAAGTGTGGCTGCTGGATCGAAATAAGAAAAATGCTATTATAATTGTAGAACTAATAAAATTGTCAAACATATTACAGTTACTATACTTTATAATGAAAATAAAATTAATGAATCTTCATTTATTGTGATCTGCAAAATTCTCTACAAATATCAAGGGCATTGGAAATTAAGAAATATTGTATATTTCTATCAACATCCCTCTGAATTTGCAGCATTAGAAGATCCATTAATAAGTATTCCAGTTTATAAGTTATACATTGACCTGTATTATGATGACTTTGAAACATTTTGCAACATCTATCACTCACTGAGTAGTGTATATATTCAAATTGGAAATTTACCCTTTGATAAAAGAAGGCAACTTAGAAATCATTTTGTGCTTGGGTTTGTTCCATTTGGGGGCAAATTTAATGAATTTATTAAACCTTTTGTTGCTGAGATGAAACAACTGGAGAAAGGAAGATAATGGATGTGGAAGGAAGTGAATGCCTTGTAATTACAAGTTTTGGGGATGTAACAGCAGATTTGCTGCAAGGCAATGATCTGGCTGGAGTTAAAAGACATGGGGCTACAAGAGGGTGTCATACTTGTAATGCAACAAAAGATTCCTAGACATCAGATAATATCAATTTGTCATTGATTTCTTGTTATTACCATATTACAAACATTTAATTCGGTGAAATTTCAGCAGCACCAACAATTACAAGATGTAAGGAAATTGCTGCTGAATATGGATTGCATATCAAATCACCAATACTGGATAAATTAAAAAGAGAAAGGCATCTCCAATTACCACATGATATATATCATATTATGGCAGGCAAAGTATTAAGATTTCTTAAGATTACATTTAATGCACTTTCTTCAGAGGGAAAATTAGCATTTATCATATGTTGGAAGTCATTCGATTATCCAAAAGACTGGCAAAAATTACCAAATCCAATTTCTCACATCGATAGTTTCATGATGTTAGACTGTTTACGATTGGCTATGATAGTTCCTTTTATTTTTAATAGGTTTTTAAAGCCTCAACATTTTAAAAAAACTGAACTTACTATGTTTCAACAGCGAATAGGACTCTCATGAAATGATTTGGCTGTAAAACATTGTTTAAAATGTTGGATATTGGTAGCAAAAACAATGTCTATAGCATTCAAGCATTCATTTTTAGAAAATGATTATATTAAGCTACATGAATGCTTAGATAATAAAAGAAAATTATTATCACAGATAAATAATTATAATGCTTTGACTGAAATTGATATGATGAGGTTTCAAAGCTAAGGTTCAAGTTTCTGATTTCGAATTAAATTAGTGACGATATTTATTTCAAAATAAATCTTATATATTGTAAGCTTATTTATATATTAATGAATACTTTATGATTGTAAATTTTTTTTAAATTTAATCTTCTTAGAAATGTATTTATGTTCTCAACATTAAAATTTATTTATATCCCTATTTTTAAATTTCAGAAAATATCGGTCATTTACTCAAATTTTTATCCCAATGTCCCAACTCTTCTCATCTTTTATGTTCATTTTCCTTTTGGATGATTTCAGAACTTAATTCAATTCCTAATTTTATTCCATCTAGCATTATGCTACTCTATTATATTTATATAGAGAACATATTTTTCTAGTATTATGTTCTCAAATCTAAAGGCATGTTCTTATGAGAACATAAGATTTCCAACACTGCACCAGATAACTTCTATTTCATTTTCTGATTTTGAAATTTTAAAACAAAATAGAACATTTCAAACACCCACTTATTTTCAAAATAAGTTGACTCTGAAACCCTCTAATAAATTAAATTTCAATGCAAAAATTAATCATTATTACAAAATTTTTACAAAATAGGCATTTAAAGATTTTGAAAATCTACCAAATTTACATGTTAACTTTCATTTGGTACAACATGCCAAAAATTATGCAACTTTACTAAATACTAGTGTTGGAATAAAAGAAATGGTTCATCGCATTTTCAAGAATATAGTAACAAGAACAAATCAAAAAAATATAGATCTTGATTTGTTAAAACATTATACTACATTATTCACAATGCATTATTTATTTGATGGAGGTGTTGATAACCACTTTTCTTCTTCAAATAATGCTTTAATGAACTTTTCGTATCACTCGAAATGACTGGTGAATAATTGGTTTATCACTGAAAAATTTTTTAATACAAATGAAAATTTACATGAAGGTTATTCAATTTTGATTTTCTTGAATTATTTTAAATTTCTTATTTTGTATATTCAAATATTTATATCTATTTATTCTAGTTCAGTCAACAGTTGATTATATTTCAAAAATAAATTTGAGAAAGCGTATTTCAAGACAAAAAGCTAAAGAATTTTTGCCAAATAGTCCTGATTTTTTTGCAGAACTAACATTAGCATATCGAGATATGGATTATGAATTGACAATGTTTAAAGATTTATGTCAGTTTTATGAATACATTTGTTTTTTAGTAGAAGATAATAATACTATCATCCAATATCACTTACATGTCGGTGAGGTTGTAACAGTAATATCTGAAAATAATAGTCAGAATTTTGCAATCCTAAAATCAATTTTTAGTCATCAAAAAAGCAATCAATGTTTTGCTTTTATTATTGTTGACTGGTTTGAAATTACTAATCAAACAAAGGTAGGATGTCCTATATACAAACTAAGAATTGAAAATGAAGGCCAATGAATTTTTCCTATAACCAAAATTAATACAAGTAGCACCGAACATTTTATTCATAATTGTAGAAATGATAAATGCATGGAAGGAAACCATGATTTTAGAAACAATTTATATATTAGAAATTTGTATTTTTTTAAAGCTGTTTAAAATAATCTATTTTTTCACTCCAATTTTTATATTAATAAACTTACCAAATTATTATTATCGATTCACAATTTTTTCATGTACTTTAAGTATATACATACGTACGTACATACCAGAGACTCAAAAAATTTTCACGGTTCCTGATCTGTACATATCAGGTATAAAGTGTAACATTTGTGCATATAATGCTATTTGTTTGTTTTTTGCTCTTGAAACCAGCAAACATGCAGGTAATGAGACATGACAGAATTATGTATATTTATTCACGATTAGAAGACACGAAACCAGAGTTGACTGTAAAGAGAAACTTAAAGTATGAGAAAGATTCCAATGTTCAATAAATGATCCTAATGTTTAGGAAGTTGAATGAAATAATTAATACGACTGAAATGTTTGAAGAGTTAGATAATGCAGTAATGGTAGATAAATATTTATGTTCTTACCTGCTTTGCTGATTTTAATTTCAATAATTATGGAATTAATAAATAATATTTATATTTAGGAAGTTGAATGAAATAATTTATGCAGCTATGACACAAAAAGAATATATTATGTTCAGATAACTAATAAAAATCTTTATGCTTAGAAAGTTGAATAAAATAATTTATGCTACTAAAATAATTCGAAGAGTATTATACAGTAGAATAAGATAAGTAATTATGTTCTTGATTTGTAAGTTTGGTTTGCTGATTTTAATTCTGATGATTAATAAAAGATCTTTACGTTCAGGAAATCGAATGAAATAATTTACGCAGCTATGATGCAAAAAGAATATATTATGTTCAGATAACTAATAAAAATCTTTATGCTTAGGAAGTAAAATGAAATAATTTACACAACTAAAATGATTCAAAGGGTATTATAGAATGAGATAAGTAATTATGTTCTTGATTTGCAAGTTTGGTTTGCTGATTTTAATTCTGATGATTAATAAAAAATCTTTACGTTCAGAAAGTCGAATGAAATAATTTACACAACTAAAATAATTCAAAAGGTATTATATAATGTAGATAAGTAATTATGTTTTTGATTTGTAAGTTTGGTTTGCTGATTTTAATTCCGATAATTAATAAATAATATTTACATTCAGGAAGTCAAATGAAATAATTTATGTGGCTATGATGCGAAAAGAAATATTATGTTCAAATAACTAATAAGAATCTTTATGCTTAAGAAAGAATGAAATAATTTATGTGACTAAAATGATTTAAAGGGTATTATAGAATAAGATAAGTAATTATGTTCTTGATTTGCAAGTTTGGTTTGCTGATTTTAATTCCGATGATTAATAAAAAATTTATATTCAGGAAGTCGAATGAAATAATTTACGTAGCTGAAATGATTAAAAAGTATTAAGTAATGATAAATAAGTATTTATGCTCTTGATTTGTAAACCGATTTTGATTTTAATTATTAATATATGATCTTTATATTCAGGAATCAAATAAAATGTTAGTGTGAATAAAAGGATTCAAAGGGTATTATACATAAGAATTGCCAATAAGTAGTTTCTAATTAAATAATAAATATTTTATTTATAGACTTGAATAGTTTATTTTAATAGTGATAACAATTTAGCTACAATGCTTTAAAAATGTATTTACTATATATTTAATAAGTTATTGCTATTTCGAATAAATATTTTATTAATTAAAAAATAGTATGTTTAATGTGTAGTAACTGCATATTGACAAGATTGTAACTAAATTGTTTTTAGAAGTTTATGTTCAAATAAATGATTTGGTCACGATTTGTTTACGATTTGGGTATGATTTAGTTACGATTTAGTAAATTAGTTATAATAAGTTAGCTGTATAGTTTTAAAAATATATTTATCACATAATTTAAAAATATATAATAAATTATTACTATTTTAAATTAATATTAAAACAATATATTTACTAAATCGATAATATAGTAAACAATCGTCTTAATGCACAGTAACTGCAAATAGACAATATTGCAACTAAATTATTACTAAAGTTTATAAATAAATACATAATTTAGTTCCAATATGTTTACTAGTTAGTAACAATATATTTGCAATTTAGTTACAATTTAACATCTTTCAATAAAGTATATAAATATTGATATAAATAAATTAGCTTTAATAAAAGTGATTATTACAATTAAATAATAACAGTATATTTTAGACCAATTTTGTAACTCTCTCTGTAGATTACTTGTACCAAATTTTTACTAAAAACATTTAATTATTTCTCAATATTTTATTAAGCAAACCTTACCTGCACCTCTAAATAAAGTTACTCAGCTCACTTTTCTTCTCCTAGGCGGCCAAGTTTTATGCATCTGCAATACTTAGCTACTGAAAAAAATTCCAAAAATCAAAATTTTGGTTTTTGCTAATTTGCTAAATATTTTACTAATTAATCCCATATTGCTACTTATTAGAAAAATAACAAGCACTTCATTCTGGTCATATTGATATATAATATATAGCAAACAAACCAAAACTCACTAAAATATTGAAAAAAAGGCAAAACTAAAATCTGCTTTTGCAGGTTATTTCACTGGTAAATTTAGGAAAATTCACTGGGTTGCCCTGGAAAATTCACTTTTCTGGTACCCATTAAAATTTCCTAAACATCTAATTAGCTTTTCTAATAGTTCCACATTTCTCAGATTCTTCCTAACCTATCTATAAAGCCCTTAAATTAGAAAATTTTATCTGAAAATCAGGTTATTTAATCTGATTTAAAAATTGTTTTCTATTAGCACATACACCATACTAGAATAGTCACACAAAATGCCTAGCATTATCACTATTGAACCAGATGCCTTCAATCTAGATACCCTTCAAAACAAATATAGTAGTTGAACCTTAGCTACCTTGGACAAAAACTGTAAAAGTTTTAAAGTCCTTCTAGCTAACTTCAATCCCACACAATGTGATACCAACAATGGTTACCACTTCTTTTCCAACTCTAGTCAACCTACTATCACAAGATGCCTCTGTGGAAAATACTACACATACTTCGCATTAAAGCATTTATTTCTGACATCTATCTTTAACACTATCTTTATATCAAAAATTGAGTTATCTAACTTAATGGAAATCGATTTAAATGCCAAACTTTACAAATCTCTTCATAATGTACCAAAGTCATCCTTCTAGCCTAAACACAATATTGCCAATCCATTTCCTAACTGGTATAGCAATATCAGACAAAATACCAATAATTAAATCTTTTTTACAGCCTACTTCCATCATGCACACATATGCATTATTTGCAAAACCAAAGATATATCTTGCATTATACTAACCAATAACAAACATTCATTAGATCCAAAAGCCCTTGTATTTAAAACTGAAGTTGGTGGCTTCTCTGCCTACTCTCAATGCATTCACAGACTTAAACTAAAACTTGCTAAATTTACAAGCCCTATGAACTGAAAGCAATGTGGCCTCTACTGCAAAATCAAATGTGTACAACTATCTGCAGAAGACAAATGCATTTTCTTCAAAAAATTCTTAGATAAACTTCCCAAAAAGACTAAAAATACTGATAAACAATCAGACAATAACTCTAATAATAAAGAAACCTTAAAAAACAACAAACTGAATACAGATAACAACAAACAACTCAAACAAAAAGCAAATACTCCAAAATGTAATAATTCTAAAGACTTTAACTAATTTAAAAACTATCCTGTTACTCTAACTATGCAACAATATAATAAACTCAATACCCCACTGGCATTATAACTATTCTTCTGAAATCTAATATCAGAAACTTTATTTCTAGACAAGTTATTCTCAATAAAGCTGACAATAATAAAAACAACAACAGATCACCTGCCAAATTCTCCTTCAGTTATATTCTTAATAAAATAGCAAGCAAAAAACCTAAGTTCTTATCAGATTTCATTATTAACTCAAGCCCTAATTTTGATAAATCAAAACTGATTCCTTTCAAAGCCTTCCATGATACTCTTAAAGGCTTACTTACCAAGTTTACAAAAGTTTTCTTCACCCAACTGAATTACTTACATATTTTCCAATTACACTATTCTATCTCACCTTACTTACATACCAATAGATGTAGAGTTGCTATAAACTTAGCCTGCCTACATCTTTATCTAAACTATAAATATAGAACTATTAACTTTGAAGAATTCATGAAAAAACTTAACATTAAACCATTATGATTCACACTTTACTTCGATATTAAATACAGCCCTAAGCAACTTGAGTTTGCAATCCAAAATGACAACTGATTTAATATTAATGTTACTCTTAACATTTCATCTGAAAAATTTTTAAAAAACTTTAGAATCCCATCACTTAAGCCTTATCTTACAACTTATAAAACCTGGTTTAAACCTTTTTTCAAAAAATACAATACCCAATTTGAGAAAATTGACTAACAGAAAACTAGCAATTATATCAAAATGCTAATATCACAAAAATTAACAGAAGAATGCAAAAAACTTTTGCCAATATCATACTTCTTACCAAACTCATTACATACTCTCAAAGAACACTCTGAAGCAACCTTTAAAGCAGCATTCCACCATATTCACCTTTGCTCTAATAAAGACTATAGCATATTACCTAAATCAACTGAACATAATTTAGGAAACATATCAAAACTCTACTTTACCAACTCTTTCAAAACCCATCCAGTATCAGAGTCAGAACAAAAAGAATGGGTGTACTCAACCTTGAAAACTGATAGCTTCCACTATAAACAAAAACTTGCAGCAAGCTTCTCTATTTCAACACCTACAGAAGAACTTTAAGGCTTAGCAATAGCTACTGAAAAGTCTTTTGCAAAGCTCAACAAAGTTGAAAGTAATACAGCCCGATCTACATACTATTTCTATCACTATTTAAGAGC